CCCATCCAAGGTTTTCTTATGTCCACAAACCAGCGGGTGGGCTCCCTTACTGAAAGACACTTTATTTTTAGCCTCATTTATGATCTTAAAATTGTTGGGCTTTACATTAGGACAGCAGAATATAGGACAGCAAAATATAGGAAGATCTAGTAGTCATATACAATGAGAAAAAAGACCTTAGAGAAGAAAAGATGGGAATAAATGAGAAAGAAAAACTTCACAGAAAAATGTTCTGAGAAGAGGTTGGGATCAGTACAAAGTAATAAAAACTCATTGTAAACAAAATGAGGACTGTTTGTATTAAGGCAACAGTCAGAAGGGAAAGAAATACATCTTTACGGGAGAAGGATACTGAAGGAATGTATGTCTGGTGCTGCCACCTATGCCAGGGAGGACAGGGCAAGAGCATCTGAGAGTGGGAAGGAGAGGGAGACAGCAGATACCAAAAAGCAAGGTGAAAGTATACTCAGCATGTTGCAGAACTGCCAAGAAAATGATGTGCTTGGAGCATCTCAGGGAAAATGGAGGCTGGTAGAATGAAAGGGCTGAGAAGTGTTGGAGAGCCAGGTTGTGTACCCTCTTCTAGGCCCTTGTGAGGATGTTGTGCTCTCTTATGAGCAAGGAGGAAGCTGTCGGAGATTCGGAGTGGTAGAGTATCACAGGCTGTGCTGAGTATTGGGAAGGACCTCTGTGTCTACTTTGCAGAATAAGACTGACCTGGGCCAGGGGCAGAAGCACGAAGACCAGTTAGGTTTGGTTTCAGTCAGTGAGAGAGAATAGTGGTTGGAGTAGGGTGGGAGTACTGGGAATAAAAAGGATGATTAGATGATGGATCTACTCATGGAAATACTGCTCTGTCCTTGCCTGCTTTCCATGGACAACCCCATCCTTGGACCACACTGACTAATACACCATATAGTGCAAGAATGGCCAGGCAAGGGAACACTTGCTAAGGAATAGTCTACAAGAATTTGCATCCTCCAGACTGGTGAGATAGCTCAGTGGACTAAGCACCTGCTTAGGCAAGCACAGGGACTGAGTTTCAATCCCCACACCACATGCTGCACCTGCCCCACCCCCAGGCATGCTGAGCCAGCCAACGGGACTGGGTGTGGTGGCTCATGCCTATAATCCCAGTGCTGGGGAGGCTGAAAACAGGAGGATCACTATGAGTCTGAGCTGCATAGAGACCCTGTACCAAATACACTTAAAAAAAAAAAAAAAAAAAGAATTTGCATCTTCCATCAAAGGCCCACATACAGTGCAGGGCCCAGTATCCCTCCCTCGGATTTACTTGTTTGGTACAGGAAATAAAGGAAGGTTCTGTAGCCTCCTAACTCACAGAAAAGCCCGTATAATTTGGTTAAATGTCTATGAGCTTTGAAAGACGGCTGGCCACTGGCACACAGCAGGCAAAGACTGCCTGAGAACCTCCAAAGCCATCCTAGGGATCGGAGTAACCTAGTCGTAATCTAGTAGGAGTAGTTGCCATCTACTCCAGAAAGAACAGAACTCTTTCCTTCATTGTGTACCAAATAGTCACATGTCTTTGGGCCTAATTTGGAGCTTTCTACTCTGTGCTCCTCAACTCTCTCTACTCCTGTATCTCTGTCACTTTGTTTCAGTTACTGTCATTTATTTTGTAAATTTCCATGTATAATTTTTGGAAACTTCCTGGTTACTCTCTTATATTTTGTTTTTCTGAATAAAATTTATTATTATTGAGTTTTCAAAAGTAAGTTGGTGTTCTGATTGAGATTGCATTATGAGGATCGATATCCACCTTTACAGTATCATATCTTCCTTAAAGACAAGGAATAGCTCTTCAGTCAAGAAGATTATATTTTCTTGATGTAGAAATATGCACATTATCTCTCACTTCACCTTTTTTTTCATCAGTGCATCATTTAGGAAAAAAAGCTTATCCTAATTCTATAGTAAATGGGCAAAATAGGATGTCCTTCTGAAGCCCCAGTCATAAAATTTGTATAACTATATCTGAATTACAAGGAGCCTGGAACTTCCTGATACTTACAAATCTCCATATGCTTTTACCCCATCACAAATGGACTCACAAAGCTCCAGTGGTGCAATTGGTTAGAGTGCAGTACTTATATAAAAAATAGACTCAGGACTTCCCAGATGCAGCTTTGGATTCCATCAAGAGGTGAAGGCTCTATTGGCCAGCCTGGCCGTTCTTTTGCATTTGGGAAAGGCGCTTTTCAGAGCTGCCCATCAGAGAGGCTCAAGGTTTAGTTCCCTAAGGGAACCACGAGCCAGCCAGTTTCAACAGCTTTCACCATTCAAATCACAAATCTTAGACTGACCCAGTCACTTTTCTTCTCCACTTTGATTGCTGCTAGAAAATTTCACATAGGCCGCATGGAGTTGAAGGAACCACAAATGCATAGGTCTCTTATGTCAGCTGGATCTTCAGCAACATATGTTTTATATTTTTCTCATCAACTTCCTATCTTAGAAAAGTAAGACTAGAGACAAAAATCTGGAGTTCCCAACACATTCACTATTCTAAGTGTTTACCACACTCTCAAGACATGTCTCTCTGTCTGTCTGTCTGTCTGTCTGTCTGTCTGTCTGTCTCTGCCTCTGTCTTTATCTGATGCCATCTCTGTAACTTCACAAATGTCTTTCTCAATCTTTCTGGCAACTGATGCTCTTTCCCTTGCACAGCCATATATTTCTGTCTTATTTTCATCTTTCTCTAGTCATTCCAGTAGGATTTTGAGAGGAAAGATAAACACAAGACTAAAGTCACCATCTTTTCTTAAAAATTTCTGTTATCTATGTACCTGCACAGGTATATGAATTTGCATTTAGCATACATATCACATGAGTTTTTGTTAGAAAATTATCATTTGACTGATGGACTGATGACTTCATGTTGGCTTGATGTGTTTGTTGTACTTTCCACCAATGAACTCTTCATAACAGCAGAAACCCTCAACACTGGCCTCCGCTTAAGCAGTGCCCATCGTCCTCTTGCCCCCTACCATGATGACACCCCTACTCAGCAGGAAGCACTTTAAGAGAATCATCACCTCTTATAACCAAAAGATAGGAATGATGAGTTTTCTCAACCTTAATAAAAAAATTCTGCTAGGTCATCATGGCGGTGAGCCAACATGGCACAGGCCAGTGGGAGCCATGTGCTGTCCCCTGTCTTTCCCCTTCCTGGTCAAATTACAACTTCCTACCTCCTTTTCAAATTATCCTGTTTCCTTGTTCCCGCCTCCTGCCCAATCACTGTCTGCTGCGACACGCATACGGCCCCCTAAACCCCACCTCCGTCCTGGCCCTTTATAGCCTTTGTTTCCCAGCGAGGACCTTGGAAGCTCCACATGTCTCCTTTCCTGTGGTCCTCTCCATGCCTGTAGTAAAGACCTCTTTTATCTTTCCTGGCTCTACTGTGCTGAAAACCCTAACAATCGGAATAGGTTGTATACTCATGTGCATCTTTTTTGCTTAACTTTGTATATGTGAGAGTCATAATTGCATATAACAGTAATGTCTTTGTCATTCCACTCCACAGTAGAAGCTGTAAAGATGTGTAACTATGTCCCATGTGACAGAATGTTCAGAGAAACACTCACTTAGCTCCCAAAGGAAAACACTCCAAATGGGTACCAAACAGTAGAATGACTAAATGGTTATGTGTGCATACTTTACAATGCCAAACATGCTTTTGAAAAAATGTAACTTTCATCTTTTTAAATTTTCCCTGAATCTCTCCAATGCTGTCATTCCATACCAGCTTTCTTCAGAATCCCAGGTGACTCATACAAAAAAC